CTATCTATCTATCTATCTATCTATCTATCTATCTGTCTATCTATCTATCTATCTATCTATCTATCTATCTATCTATCTATCTATCTATCTATCTATCTATCTATCTATCTATCTATCTATCTATCTATTTTTCTATCTAACTATCTATCTATCTATCTATCCGTCTATCTACCTATCTATTTATCTCTCTGTCTATCTATCTATCTATCCGTCTATTTACCTATCTATTTATCTCTCTGTCTGTCTATCTATCTATCTATCTGTATATATATATATATATATCTGTCTATCTATCTAAGACATATTCAACTACACTGTCTTATAGTTATAGTACTTCTGTTTATTTGATCCATTTATCTGCTTGTCATCTCTCTGCTTACAGCTTTTTAAGTGATTAAAGACTATCTTCCGTCCCAGATGCAGGTGGAAAACCCATCCGCATATATCCAAAACATGCTGAGGCGGCAAGAGGAGGGTAGTTGACATTTCTCTTGTTGAACACAGGACAGGAGAAAGGCATGGGGAGGTGGAGAGACTGTCAGCATTGTTCATTTCTTCCTCTCCCAGCTGACGATGGATGGCTGCAGCCCTCCCGTCGCTGTTGGCCTCTGATAAGCCCTGTTTTCTGAGGCCCAAGGTAGAGGGCCCTCTTAATGGAATTCCTCTCATCCGGGTAGCAGCGGCGTATCGACTGCTCTCACCAGAGAAAGAGGACCCCCTTTGTGAACCCAATGAACTGGGAGATTGATGAGGCCTTGCTGTGTGAAATCAGCCCAGCACCATCTCCTGTCCAGCCCTAAGCCTCCAAAGGGTGCCTATTTAAAGGATGTAATTCATACATATGTACAAATAAAATGCCTCTAGTGGGTTGTTGGAGAAGCAATGTAATGTCAACATATGTCACACCTAAGTGAAACAGCCTGGAGATCCTCCGTGTAATTGGCAACAGAAAAACGCAACATAATGTATGACTCGGTCTCAGTGTCATCAGGAGCCTCTGAAAATATAATTAAAAAAACACTGTAGACAATGGAGAAATAAGAACATAATTATGTAATGGAACAATAAAGAGTGGAACTGCATATGCTTCAAACATCACTGATTTTCTGCCCAGGAGAAATTAATCGTGAGTTAATTGATACTCTTTCAAAGGGTGTTTTTTCTTCAATGTATTTTGTTCTAAGGTGTGAAAACAGAAGGGTCCTTTGTCTGCAGGTAGCATTGGCTGTCTAGCATTCTGTAATACAACAAGTATCCTCGGAGTTCAGGAGGCAGACGACAGGCAGATAAGATCCCTATCACCCCCGAGGCTCTACAGCCTTATCTGTCTCATGGAGCCTCTTACCTTTTGACTCTCACACAGCCACACAATGATCCTTTCTCAACAGGCATCTCAGCTCTGTGAGGAGGAACCAATTTATTTTCTTTGTCAGTTTTCTGTTACCAGTCGGAACTGCTGTTGTAACTTCATACAGTCTAGGACAGGGGTGTCAAACTCAAGGCCCGGGGGCCAAATCCGGCCCGCCACCTCATTGTATGTGGCCCACAAGAGCTTGCAAAGAATATAATACGTTTATTATAAGGTTACGTGCCGCTTTACAGGAGCACGTGGCCCATAAACTACATGTCCCACAATGCATCTCATTTTGTGAGATGCGCACTGAAGAGACTTGAAGAGACTTGCAATTACTTGCAATTATTTGCCCTAGACTTCTGCTTTCAGACGTAGTTAATTGTGAAGTTATTACCCTATCCGATAATAATCCAATGCAGAGGAAATATTGTTAAATAATACATTATTATATATATTATATTTATCTATGTATATTTATATAGTCTTAAAGTTACCACCGGCCCTTTGAGTGCAACCATAATTCTAATGTGGCCCACGATGAAATTGAGTTTGACACCCCTGGTCTAGGAGGATGTGGAAAAACATACACTTAATAACTGGTGATGATAGGTATTCTGATTCACTTTGGCTCAATCTCTGAACACGTAGTTTGTTCGTTTACGACAGAATTTAACTTATTTTTCATTCAAACAAATTGCATGTGTTTTGACACGTGTGCAGAAGTTCACATTAAGTTCACTCGTCTACAATTTGCACATTAACCACTTGCTGATCACACCTGATAAGTTCACTTTCAGGAAAATTGTCATACATTTTTCCCAATCCTTCATCGTTTTAGCCATCACATGCAATATGCTTCACTCAAATATCAAAATCCAGGCATTATTACGTATTAAATAAATATCCATCACATAGAATGATTGTAATGTGCAAGAGAAATCAAAAGATGTCACGTTGATGAAATCTCTGGCTAGACAAGAGCGACAGGATGTGTCCACCAACTTGAAGTGTTACATAGCCTACTGTGAGGAGGTCCAATTTATTCTTCTTTATTCATGATTGCTTTTTCTGCATAAATGTCAGTTTGTGCTACATTTTCATGAGCAGTACAATACAATAGGCAGCCGGCTCAATAAAAAAGAGACTGATAGGAACAAATACAGGTTTTACTGCCATGGTGAGAAAATATCTAAACATTATCACCAGTACCGCTCAAGTAAGGACAAAACATGTTTTCATTTTTGTGGAATTGGTCAATTTACTGAAAGAACAAATAGGTTTGGAAGAAGGAATGAACTGTTTAGGGGGATTTACAGTATGATCTTTTGCAGACATGCGATAGAGTTGAGATATTCCATGAAAAAGTTCTAGACACTGAAACACACACATGCACTTACAGTTAGGGAGAGTGTTGAAATTATTTTTTTAAAAATGAGCCAAAGCAATTGAGAAGACCTGTTATACAAATGGGGTCATTTGTGTGGTACTTTGATTAAAAAAAGTAATATCTGTAAGACATTATCCAAATTCTTGGTAACCATTAACACTAGCTAGAGTCCATAAGATGCACTATCCTGTTGAGCAAATAGCAATTCAAATATTACTTCATGGCATAAAG